CCCCCCCCCCCCCCCCGGGAAGAGGGATAAGATAAAGCTACCCTATGGTCAGCAAATAAAGAACTTGGACGGTAGAATCACGTGCCGGTATAGTTCTCCCATCTAAACAAGGTCGTTCGTCCTAAGTAACGTGCTGTTCCCCCATCTACAAAGCTAGTTCGTCCTAAGTAACGTGGCTGTTCTCCCATCTACAAAGCTCGTTCATCATAAGTATCACAAGTAACGTGGCGGTTCTTTTTTCCTTCTCTCCGAGAGAGTTGTGAAAGGAGACTTTGCTCGTCTCAGTCTCAATTCCGATTCCACAATCAATAAAATAATGTAAATTGCTAAAAAGGTATTTTTTAAAAGGAAGTGCATTTTCGGGTTTAAATTCCGGATGAAAATAGAAACCATTGAGAAAATATCGACCAGGAACTAACAGAATATGAATCACATAAAGACTGGTAGTTTTAATATAAAATAGCCATTTATACCCAAAGTGCTTACGTTTTATGCCATGGACGTAGTTTTCGCAACAAAATTACATGGTTCTTTTCCCCCGCTACTCTTGCATGTAGTTTTCTTAAATCATTTGACAAATAAAAACATAAAACTTGAAAAAAGCTAAGCTCCCGGGTCGATATTTTCACTGCTTGGCCTCCATTTTGAATTCGAAGCCCTGCGGGCTTAGCCTCGTTTTGATGAATCAAATTATTAAAATGAGAGTAGTCTAATGACTAATATTTCAATGTTTGTTCATCCCACTCCCAGGCTTCATTCTGCCCGTTGTGGATTACCCCGTATAGACCTAATAACCTTCGTATATAGATCCAGAAAGTTAAAGGAACAATTCTCTAGAGAACATCCTGTAAAACATCACAGACGGTTATTAAAAACTGATGAGCTAGTGGCGTCGCTTCAGTGCCTTTTCTAAGTGACGCATAAATTACATTTTGAATAAACTACATAACGTTATATTTTACAATCAGTAGATTTCTACGAGACTGTTATTCGAGAGGTTCAGTTTTGATTATATACGGTTTTTCCTTGACATAATTGCCCTTTTTATATAAAGCAGATAACAGACGTTACAGTGAGTATTAAAACTCGTTTAAACCGCATCAAGCTTGTTTATTCGCTTCGTTTATAATGTTGCATTTATTTAATTATCATGAAACTTTCATCAAATATTACACAATAATTGAAGTTTATAATAGTTGATTTTGTTTTCAAATAGCGTTAAATAAAGCAAAGTTATAAGGAAATATTCAAATTAAGAAAAAAGCAAATTCTGTGTGTTTCCCTCGTTTTATTTTCAAATTGCTTCGTCTACACAAACTATGATATATGACTTACAAAGATATCAAAGTTTAAAAAATTTCTGTGGGGCAGATTTYGAGAAAATAATGCCAAGTTAGGTGCATCGTAGTTTGTTTTTCTAATGCTTCATTGCGTTTCCCGCAAGCTACATGACGATATGCTAATTCTTGCAATGAATGCTACAAACTACGATGCACGTAACTTGTTGGGTCTTTTTAAAAATGATAGAAGCAATCAATAAAACCCATCTTTTGCGCATAGAATTTGTATATCCTATATAAATTATTACAGGATTTTAAAAAAAGTTATCAGGCAGATTCTAAGAAATTCGAAAATGAACAAAAAGTCCGAATTTTGGTCAACCACCTTAAGGGCTCGTCTGCTTGTGTAGCCGGAAAAACAACTAAACTCTACGTGACATTCGTTTTGCCGTAAAGGCATTGTCGAGAGTGAATCATCTAAGAATCAGCGGCTTTATTCTACTAATTTTWAAAAAGGCTTATATTATTGTTATGTTCCATACCTGTGTCGGATTTGGACTCCTTAAAATGATCTAACAGTGCTACATATATCACTCCAAACGTGTATTGAATTCCAAGAACGACAAAAAGGTCACAGAAAGCTGCAGAACATATTACCCAAGCCCATCCACCGTCTTTAACCAATGTTACACCGCTTTCCATTGCCAATTATTAGAAATGATACCTCAGCATTCGAGCTGTGAGCTTCACTAGTGGAGATTAGTGGCTATATACATGAGTTTCTGTAAAATCTCGAATCCGGAATCCGGAATTTGGAATTCACAATAAATACACAGGCAGCCCAAACAAGGTTCCTATGTATGGTTTATAAGGGAATGTGAGTTACTATAAAGTCATGACAATAAAATGTTTCACTCAACAATTTGCCCCAAAACTTGCTGCAGTTGTTGCTTTTACTTTGTTCAGCCTTCTGGCGAAGTTTCAGCGCGATTTGAGGCCGTTTAGTGGGGTTTTCTCAAAACCCGCTCTTCTACTAAATAGTTATTTAATAATTAATTATTATTATTGATTATTATTTGTATAGAATACTCAATCGTGAATGGCTAATTTGTATGAAAATTTGTCTGGGTGGCCTTGGTTGGTGTAGTCGCACAGTAACGTTATTTCAAAACAAAATTAACTAATATCAACTTCAATCATTGTGTAATATCTTATTGTTTCATCGCGTTTTCCGCAAGCTACTTGACGATATGCTGATTCTTGCAATGAACATTCATGCGTGTAAAAAATCTTCACGCTATTCTTGACCAAGTTTTTGCAGAATTGAAAATTTCTCTCAACCTGAGGAATTGTTCTTTTTGTATTGAACTGATTTTTACAGCCGGCATTTTAAATTGCCACTTGCACTTGTAAGATGCAAAATCATCATGCAGGTGTGATTGTTCATTGCGACTAGAATTAGCATATCGTCAAGTAGCTTGCGGGAAACGCAATGAAGCATTAGAAAAACAAACTACGATGCACCTAACTTGACGGGTCTTCTAGAAATGTTAGGAGCAATCAATAAAACCCATCTTTTGCGCACAGAATTTGTACATCCTATATATATCATTACAGGATTTTTAAAAAAAAAAAGTTATCTGGCCGATTCAAAGAAATTCGAAAATAAACAAAAAGTCCGAATTTTGGTCATAATTTTGCAAGAAAAACTCTAGGTAAAAATATTAAAATACTCAACTACTAAAACATTATTTCCAACCAAACGTTTACAGCTCATAACCATAAAGTCGATGGAAGTTTCTGTGTACTTTGAAACTACGTTACTAGGTTCCGCATATTCTAAAGGTATTGTGTATGAAAAGTGAGCATTATCGAGGTCATAAAATATTCGCATTATTTACTCAAATCTGCGCCATGTGCAGAATTTTTTTAAACTTTGATATTTTTGTAAGTCATATATCATAGTTTGTGTAGATGAAGCAATTTGAAAATAAAACGAGGGAAACACACAGAATTTTTTTTTTCTTCTTAATTTGAATATTTCCTTATAACTTTGCTTTATTTAACGCTATTTGAAAACAAAATTAACTATTATAAACTTCAATTATTGTGTAATATTTGATGAAAGTTTCATGGTATTTAATAACTAAAAGCAACATTATAAACGAAGCGAATAAACTAGCTTGATGCGAAGCTCAAACTTTACACGAGTTGCACAGACCGTGTCAGGTATAGAAGGGAAAGTTAGTGCTCGAATAATGTATGTCAAGAAAACTTTTCAGGTGATTCTGCCGGGATTTTAGTATTCCGGACTCCGGATTCCAGATTCCCGATTAAGAATTTACGATTTGGAAGTGGAAGTCCGGAACGGAATATTTGGAATGAAATCCGGAATCCAAACAGTACATTGAAAAAAATGATAAAGTACTAAATGAAAAATAAAAACAAACAAACAAACAAACAAACAAACAGACAAACAAACAGCCAATGCTTTCTCAAAAGGAGTTGGCCGCTAAGCAGGCAAGAAATATAGTAATATATATCATTCGACAGTAGCCTGCCTGCATCAGATCGTCGAACATAACTATGGGTTCTTGAGGCTTTTGCATTCTATATAGATTATATGAGGTTTTTTACGGTTTGAAGCACGATGTGTTGAAAACATTTTTGACGTGATGAAGACTACCACAGCGTAGACAAAAAATCGTGCTTCAAACCGTAAAAAAACTCATGTTTAACTATGGGTTATGGAAAATGTCCTCGGCCCGGTTGTACGAAGGGTGGATAGCGCTATCCGACGGATAAATCTTATCCAGTGGATAAATTCATTGGATAAAAGCATTGACTTATCCAATGGATAAGGATTTATCTATTGAATAGCGTATTAAATCCAAGCTGAAAATTATGCAAATGAAGGTTTAGGATGATTGGTCTGCCTGTGGTCTCTTCTCCGTTGGTCACGTGCTTATGCTTCTTGCACCCCAAATTAGCGACTTATTCACGGTACACTGCACGGCATCCGTGATTATGATAAAACTACACTACAAAATAAGTCAGGCAGGGAAGCCCTACCTCGACAGAACTGACATCACGTTTGAATCCTAACAAAAAAACGACAACATTATTTATCAAGATTAATAAGGCTTAAGAGACGGAACTTTACATGGAAAACAGCTCAAAATTAAAAACAGTTATTTCCTGATATAAAACATGCAAAGGCAAAGACATTCCTTCAAGCTCACATCGCATAGGGTCGGAGTAATACTCATATTGTTATCATTTATTTGGGGGTTGTATCTCATAAAAATTCAGCTAGATGAAAGAAGCTCTCAACCAGACTACCTAAAGGCAAGAATAATTCAGCTTTCAAGGGAATACATAAAAGCTCTGGCTCGTGAAAAGAGTCTTGGAGGAATTGATGGCCAAGTACCAAAAGGTTTGTTAGAAGTCTTTTCTAGTTTTATATCTAAAAGCTTATATGTATCTAGTTTAGTATTGAATTAAACATAACCAGCAATTAGTTTTTTTCTGTTTGAACATGGAGTTACTATTTTGACGATTTTGAATCGCTATTATTCGCGTTAATTCGTTATTCGAATAACGTAAGTCTTATGCATACATGTGCTAGTAAGTTTGGTCTGTAAAATTCGTTATGAATCATGAAGTATAAATACGTACATACATAGTTTACTTAAGCAGGTTAGTTTGAAAGTCAGCAAAAGCTGATCGATGTGGATCTGCTAGATGTTTACACGAACAAAAAAAAAACCCTCTCTATTTCATAGCTCATAATGAAGCTATTGCTTATAAGAAATTGAAATAGAAAATTCGACCAGCTGTTTTCGAGTTTTAAATTCCGGTTTGGTAATCGAATAGAACGGAATTTTCAATTTTACGAAKCATTTGCTTATGTGAGTATTGAAGTCTAAGCAGACATTATTATTGTTTAAAAAGTTTTACTAGTATTAGTTAAAAAGGAAGCTATGACAACAGCAAAGTTGTGTTTGTGATATTTTTATATTGTTTGCTTTTTAAAGACTTTGGCCCGGTTGTACGAAGCCTGGATAGCTCTATCCGGCGGATAAATCCTTATCCAGTGGATAACTCGATGCAGTTATCCAATAAATTTATCCACTGGATAAGATTTTGGAGTGAAAAAGAGAAAAAGACATAAGCTTAAGGCTATTGAGCAGGTGTTTGTTTTGGACCTGGTAAAACATGATAATGCAATTGTTGGATGAGGTTGAGCATGATATTGTAAATTATCAAGACCATGGCTGAAGGCTGATGCAGATATTAACACAGCCTCGGTCTTGGTAATTTACGATATCATGCAATAATCGAATTCAATAATTTGCTTTATTATGCATTTTGTATACTGGAAAACATTACAGTGCGACTACTCCAACCAAAGCCACCTGGACAAATTTTCCACAAATTATCCAATAGTGTTTGAGTATTTAGACAATAGATTAGAGGCAAATTTTGAATTTAAATATTCTTCCGTTGTTCCGGTTGGTAAAACTAAATGATGAAGAAGAGTTTGTAATATATTTTCTTCACAAATTAGTGATTTGTGTCACCAAAGATATAGCAAAATCATAATTACGACTTCAAATACGACAGGAAAGCAAATTAGAGACCGTATAAAACACAGTCTCTATGATTACAGTTTGTTTCTTCCAGACAAAGATATAATCAGGCTGACACTGTTAGATCTYATCACTATGTTGCTATGCAACAGCACGTTTATATTCAACAACAAAGGTGCCGGCAGTCTTCTAAGCCGTATAAACCCATGGATAGTTGTCCGATTTATAGCAATTCTATTGTTCAGATTCCTACTTTTGATTGGCTAATTTGCAGAAAATTTGTTGGAGTATTTGCACTGTAACATGAACATTAAATTATAGATACATCTTGATGGATCTCAATGCCCTGAGCAAAGCTACCACAACCTGACCTTGAATGAGCTTGGCATGATAAATGTATTATCTGTAGGTTTTCCAACAGATAATGCATTTATCATGTCGAGTTCACATGATATCAGGGATTGCATGGCTGAGGGCTCTTGACCAATCAGAATTGAGATACTTAGTAAAATATATAATAATTCATTGAACTTTGATCAAATTAGAGCACCCATATGGGTCATGAGCATGAATTTTAATAAAAAGTACCCATGAAAATTTTTAGTAAAAACAAGTTTTAAAAGTAAGTTGGTTTTGATTTTTTGAAACAGATGTTGAAGACATGAAAAAAGCAACTGCAGTGTTGCTGCAAAGCATGATGGACAGAATACACATCCTGGAAATACAAGTTGAGAGTGTTATTGTCAATAGCACTCAAGAATTTCAAAATTTAGCCAACCAAATCAAGTCTCTAAACAGCTCCATATATAATGGCAACAGAACAACAGGTAATTATATCCAGTAAAATAATTTCACATATGGTTATGGAAAAGTCTGATATTACACAATTTTCATTGTTACCAGTCCTGTATCAATAGGGACCTTAAGCTGCAGGACGGCAACAACGACGACGACAGCAACCATACAATAGCACTAATTGCGCTATTCAATACACACTCGTTGGAATGTACGAAATACTATGCATCATTGCCGTCTTATGCTGAAAGTAAGACGTGAAATGTCCTATTTTTACGTACTAAAGAGAACGGCTACGCCAAAAGCTTATCTTTGCTGATTTTCGTTATAAGTAAAGTGCTCCCAAAAGACTTTATTTCACTCTAAAACGGGGATGCTTATTGAGGGTAATACTAGTTAAACAGGAAATAATAATACAATAGAAGGTTGAAGCGCGTCAATTTCGCCGACATTGTCGCCCACGTTGCCGTCCTGCAGCTTAAGGTCCCTATTGTGCTCTTGCAAGAGTTTTCATATGAGTATAAAAAGCTTTATATGTGCAAATATGAAAAGCCATGTGTGCCTTGCAGTGACTATGATGTTTTCTAGAATTTTGATTTGATGAACTGTACTTCATTCAGTTTGCATAATATTCATGATTGGTGTCAATTGGCTGTCATCATATTTTCAAACATCCAATAAAATACAGCACGGATATCACATAAGTTTAACAATGTTGACGGCCAGGTTGCAGGATATGTTTGCGCCTACGCTCCTTAGAAGTTGCCAGCAGCATTTTGCCATCTTTTTTTACATTCAACATATTCAAAGGCATTTGAATTTTTGTTTTGATTTATTAATGTTTTCACATTTTCCCCGCAAATCAGAAAGCAAAATTCCACATCCCGGACATGTCACAGCCGATGCCAATATTTCCAATCACATATGATTTTTTTACTAGTTTCCAGGCTCCCATGCATGCTATACCCTGCTAGACCAGAATATCATAGGACACAAAAAGATAGAAAATGCTTCTCTATAGAGAATCAACCATTTTGAGTGCTCAAAGAAAAGGAAACCTCACCAAGTATAAGAATTTCTAACCCCACAACACACAAGCAATATTGCATCATGCATAAGTTTCCCAACCATTCTCGGCTAATAATCACTCTTCTATTAGACAAAAATTAACATACAAGAATCAAAATGGCTGAAAAATCATTGGCTTAAGAGCAATATAACCTTGTTCTCACTTAATTTGATTGGTTTGGCATACTTTGGCAGTGTCTGCGCCATGTTCATACCATGTTTCAGGTATTTGATTGAATGGAGAGTCAATTCTTGTGCAATGTAATTGGTCTGGCCTATGCCTTGCCATCGCACTAGCTTTTCATAGTCATATGAAAATTGCTCTAGACAATACATGTATGAAGCCTTTACTAAGGGAAGATATGTTTTTGGGGGTGGGGGTGAGAGGAGGTTTGGTAGATTTTTCAACTTTATTTTAATGGTTGCAGCCCTTCCCCTTTCACTCAGTAAGAATTCATGACACTCCTATTAAGTCAATAAGTCAACAAGAAAAATGGTTTTCACCCCACCCTCCCCCCTAATAAAAACTTAACTTTCCTTTTTAAAATGATCCCTATGTGTTCGTTTTCAAGTCTGGGAAGATAAATGTGTTATCCCAAATGATCCAAGTTATCCTGAGTGTTTACAAAAATTTAATGTAAGTATATTAACAAATTCATTGTTTTTGGCTATATTGTTTTGTGTTTATTGTTGTCATGCAAACAAACAAATGCCAGACAGTCTGGCACACACAAGTTTTTTTATTTGTTTTATAAAATACAAATTAGGATAACAGTTATTTTTGATAGGAATGACACGACTGAAAGTGCATGTGCGTGCTGATAGAGCACATTTCCCCAATCAATCAAAACCCGAGATTTATAACAGTTATTTTATAAAATTATTAACACATGCATATTTAAATGTGTAAGGGTTGAATTGTACAATGTATGACTTGCTTATAGTTTGTTTCAAATGGAAGTCATATTAAATAAGCATATATTTTGGATTTTTCCCTTAAAAGGTGTCGGTGATCCTAATTTTTTAATTCACATTTGGATGGACCTAAAAAATATCTTTTATTATATATTTATGAGTTAATGGTCATGTTATCTTAAAGTTTTAGCTTCTTGAATTATAGAATGATCATTGTACGATTGATTACATACCCTTGCAAAAGTTGAAAATGAAGTCAGTGACTCTTATTTTTTATTTCATATTTGGATGGAGTCCACAAATTCTTTCACTTAGAAAACATTCACTGAATACTTTATCTCCGATAGGACCTAAACAATATCTTTTAAATACATATTTATGAATTATGGTCATGTTGTTTTAGCTTCTTGAATTATAGAAATGATTATTGTATGATTATATGTACTTGCAAAATTTAGACGTTAGAAGGAAATTAAGAACATTAGAAAAGAAATTTCTGATAAATGATGCAGAAAGAGTTAAATATTTTATAATTGCAAAATCTTAATCTGAAAAAATTATTTGGAAATTGGATGAGATTACAAACCCATTATAATTTTCAAATATCATATAAACAGTACATGCAGTGCTATAAAGAAATTCAGAAGAACTTACATAATACCTATATTTTTCTTGCAGTGGCTGGAGAAAAACTGGAAGAAAGACCCAAGATTTGCTAAGCATGGAGTTAATGGATCTCGCTGCTCTATACTAAAGTATTTGAGTGAGGTTTGTTTCATATCGTAATTATTTGAAGCAACAAAATTAGGAAAAAATATTTTCAGATCCTAATATATTTTAGTAGTTTTAGAAATTAATCTTTTTTCCAATGGAGATGGTCCAGGAATACTTTCAAAATAGATTAACAGGCCTGGGATTTATTTAGCATATTGTTGTTTTATATATTGTAATTTACCAATATTATTTTAAGCTCCAACATTAATTGAAGGCAGCATGCCAAACTCAAGACAGGTGGGCTAGATGATGATATTTCATGGGCCATTAGCTATCATACATGAGACTGACCTCAGGGTGTTTGATATCTCTTTTCGTTGCTGAGATATTCAATATTAATACTTTATTTCCTTAATAAGCTCAAACCCTCTAATTCCCCCTTTTAAATAAGCCCCCATCCTAAGGTTATATAAGCCCCTGTCTCTATAATAAGCTGCCACTTTTAATGACTAATGCAGGTGTTTTGAAGTGCAAAAAAATAAGTAAGCCCATTGGCAATTAAAGCCTATAATAAGCCCTCACCCCTAAGGAATGTTGTGGTCCTTTTCTTTTGTCAGGTCTCTGAATGTCATTTCACCTAATATTGAGATTATGAATGAAAATAATGATGAACTTCCAAAGATCATGAAAATATATTGATAAAACCCCCAGCCCCTAATAAGCTCCCCCTTTTTGATAAGCCCCCCTTCAAAAGCGCTGAAAAATAATAAAGTCCCAAGGGGCTAGCCTGAGAAAACAGATAGCTTTTCACTCCCCTTGATTGCACCCTGCAAAAGTAATGTCTGAGCAACGAGCTGGAAAATTGCATACTGATGACCTAGCACTACCTAGATCCAGGTTTTGGATTGTTTGAAATAAATATGAATAAATTAACACATTTATGCTGAGTGTGGACATGAGGTCTTTACCAAGATACCAAGACTGACTGGAAACAAAAGGAAAGGGTGTGGTAGATCTAAAATGCTTCATAACAGTACCATAATTACATATTAAGTACGAAATCTAGTAGTGGAACTGAGTGCCTTTGGGTGATAGAGGAATTACTTTTTGAAGTCAGTTTAAACTTGATTTTYATTACATAATGCTTTACCTTGCAAGACATTTTTTCGCCAGTTGAATTAAAGTGCAACTACTCCAACCAAGACCATTTGAACAAATATTCCACAAATTAACCAATAGCGTTAGAATATAGACAAACAATTAGCGGTGAATTTTAAATTTAGATATTCTTCCATTGTTCAAATTGGGGAAAATAAATGATAAACGGGAGCTTGTAATTTTTTTCTTTGCCAATATAGTGATTTGTGTCACTAAAAATATAGAAAAGATGGTAAAATATGACTTCAAATGCGACAGGAAAGCAAATTAACACAGTCTTCATGATAACAGTTTGTTTCTTCCTGACAGCAATATTATCAGGTTAGAGCTCCGACTCATGAAATCTTCAATGGCATGTAAATTCAAAATTTTCAAAATATTACAAAGGTTTATAACAACTTCTTCCAATGAATCTACAGATAAGGTACACTATATGACTGCCTTCTTCATAATTCATGAGTGTGTGTAAATGATTTCTTCATGATTGTGGTTTGGGTAGCGCTACGTTATCAGTATGGAATTATTTGGCTTGTTGCTCAGGCATTACTTTTGAGAGGATAAGGCTAGTGAAAGGACCTCTGTTTTCTCAGGCTACAAGGAGTTTAATATAGGAAATGATGGTAGAAATTATAAAGTGATGACATCATCATAGTGACCTGGTAAAAAGTCAAATTATCATAGAGAATATCATTGAGAATTAGCTCAACATGGCTGAAACTTATGTTGGTTATAATGCAAGGTAAAACAGTCAGTCTGGTGTGTTTTATGCTGTTTCCTTCACTTAAAGGAAACAGGTTTAAATAACATGGTTTTTCTTTAAAGGTCGAGGCTTGGTGTCCAAAACCGCAGTTTAATTGTGAAATACCCAATGATTCTGCCTTTCCTCACTGTTCGGCTAAAGTTCAGGTATCTATTTTTGTTCAACACAAGTCAAAAACTGCTATGCATTTTCTTTTGATATTTTTCCTGTGCTTGAAGAGGTCAGGCGTGTTCAAGTGATGCAATATAAATAAGTGTAGACATACTCTGTTGGTTACATATTATGTTGATTTATGGGAATCTATCAAATGGGCCCAACATACACACATACTCGTGCCATGTATTTTTTATTTTAAATGTCATAGTAATTACCACAATAAAAATAATAAGACTAACAAATGATATTAAGAATAATAAAAAAAATTTATTATAAAAATAATAATATCAAAACCGAATTTCAGTGGATGAGGAAATATTGGACTTCAGATCCAAAGTTTCGTGGACATGGAGTTGATGGCTCTGACTGCTCTATACTTTACTATCTTAGTGAGGTATGATATTGATCGATGGAGTACTTCGACAGTGCAGTGGCCATTTTGAATCACAAGATGTCATGTACGGGTCCTCCAGGGGCGAATATTTTATGTTCTGCTGCAGTAATTGTTTCAAAATTATTGAGACAATTTGACAAGAGCCAATGAATGAACAAAATTTAGAGTTCCAGAACTGATTTCTCAACGGTGTCATCATTTCACCATCTTTTTTTTTGTTTTGCGCCCAAGGTGACCCATAATGCCTTAGGATTCAAGATGGCCACCATGTCATTGAAGTAGTGAAATGATTTGTTTATTGAAATAGGTAATACAAAAGTACTACTGAATTTAGTTTGTGCTATTTCTTATCTTCAGGTTGAAAATTGGTGTCCTAGTGTTGCTGGACACACAAGTGTTTCTGATTGCGCAGTCCCTAACAATCCTTCCCATCCATCATGCATGGCAAAAGTTGCTGTAAGTACAGGACTATCAATAGCAAGCCTTGAAAAACTGAGGGGAAGGGGGGACATTAAGTCACTTCACAACACATGTCACAAATGTTTCTTGTCTAGATTGATATTCGTATTTACATTTTCTTGGGGGAAAGCAAAGCAAAGCATAACAATGCAAAGCATCTAGCAGAAGGAAGAACCTCTCTAAGAAGGCCTTCCCTGACTTATAACGAAAGGATTTGCCCAGTGTGCAACTCAGAAATAGAGAATGAAACACGTTTTCTAATTTGGTGTCCAAATTTTTAATCAACCCTAAAACAGCGTTCTTACAAAAAGCATCAATGTCAGCTTACATCTATTAATGCATGCCCCATGTGGGCACTACAGCCCTGAATTAAAAACACTAGTTGTTAGAGTTAGAAAATAGCAACATATAAATAATGATCGTGAGAAGCAAGCTACCAATCATTGGGGAATCAGGATAACATGGTGGTAAAATGCTCACCTCTCACCAATTGAGTCCGGGGTTCGAATTCCAACCACCCCATGTGAGCTGAGTTGGTTGGTTCTCTTTCTGACTCTGAGGGTTTTTCCATCCCGCCCGTTTTTTTCTCCCTCCTTTCAAAATCAACCCTAACTAATTCAAACTGGTTAGAGCTGTGCTCAGGAGTCATACATGGACTGTATAGCAGCTGTCAAAGGCACCTTCACATCCTTTAAGTTTGACTCCAGTGAGCTGCGCCACTGCTGTACTTTACAGTGGTCTTTTGCGATGACAAGTTTTTATGACAACTATACAGTCAGACAGAAAAATGTAAGAATTGCAAAAACATGCAAAATGATAATCACATCTTTGAAACATATTACACATTTTTATTTCAGTTACTGACAATAGAACCTTAGTTTTATTGTTTTGAAGATATTACTGATGATCTCTCACTACTATTTCTTGTTTTTTGTTTTGTTTTTAGTGGATGAGAAACTTTTGGAAGTCTGATGCATGTTATGCTAAGGATTATGGTGTCAATGGAACCATCTGTTCATTTCTAGTTTATTTAAGCGAGGTAGCTATTTCTTATTTATTAATTAATTTACCTTTGATTTAACACTAGGATATAAACCTCTGATGAAATTATTACCTTGGAAAAATGCCTTCATATCTTTCTCAGTCTTGACTTTATAATTTTAACAAATTTGACTTTGAACTATTTGAATTATTTTTAGGTTGAAAACTGGTGTCCTCTCTTACCCGGCCGTGCAAGACCAACAGTTGTATCTACTAAACCATTACTGAAGCCTGTGAGTTTAATCATTTTTTAACACATTTAAGACTTTGAAAGCTTTGTTACACAGTACTGATTGCTGTTTTTTACTCTAGAACTTTCATCAGAAAGAACTATCTGGGCTGCTGACACTTTTAGATGACAAAAATGCTATTAAATTTAGATGGATAAAAACTAGAATCACAAGGATGTGGCCTGCTTGGAGAGAAGCTCTGAAATTTTTGAAGAGCAACAGAGACAGTTCAAAAGATGTCAGAAAAAAGGTAATTTTATTTAAATGAAAGGAAACGAAACCTTTATTTTCCAGGGTAAACCCCTGTTTACCACATGGTAATACAATGTACGAAAAAATAAAAAAAAACAGAGTGCAAGCCAATATGTTCGTGAAATGGTACTAACTAATTAGTACAAAAATAACAATGAAACAATTGAAAACGAAAGAAATAGGTGTGTAAATAATAATAATGATAATAATAATTATAATATGAGACGTGATAAGAATATTGCTATAATTATAAAACAAAAAAGAAAAGATTATGAATATAAAATAACAAATCTATATAATATATACTTATTTATCTATAAAAACATATTTGTAAAATAAATTAATAGCTCAAAACACGAGTCCAGCTCTTCACACTGA